GTGTTTTAGGTACGTACAATCAAAACAAAGACCTAGACAATAGTTATTTTTAGGGACCTAGACATCAACTTGAAAGCGCAAATTGAAATAAATTATGTGTTATTTTCCGGTTCTGCTAATTTAAGACACAAGGTTGAATGTGTTGTGCTCAATAATTATGTGTAGGTATAAGCTTAATCCGCCAATTTTTTTCATAATACGAAGACAATTATTATTATTATTTATTAACCTAGATCAAAATAAACGCCTCAAATGATGATTTTATTTTGAATTACTTGCTTATGTACCTACACAAACATATAACGAGCAATATAATATAGATTGTTGTGCATTTGAAAGTTATTAACAAATAACAAAGCAAATATATGTTTTTTATTGGTTGCTTCCTTGTATGGAAATAATGATAAAGGAGCTACGTCAGAGAAGATCCCCTGTATATTTTTGATTGCACGACATCGAGCTGCGATAAAATATATGAATAAAGTAAATTACAAAACTGTTGTTTCATCTTAAATCTACTACATCTAGGTACTAGGTACTTCTATAGGAAACAAAATATAAGAATGGGTTTTTTTAATGAATCAACGCTCCATACAAAGTGATTCAATGGAAAGTACAGAAAAGCGGAGGTCGTTTACAGTAGAGTGCCTCAAAAATCTCATTTCATGATATTAATCAGCTGAACAAAAAAAAAATGAGACACAAGTACCTATGTTTTTTTTTCGGATACATTTCAAAAATATTTTGATGTTGTACAGGGTGTGCCACGAACACGAAATGTGTCAAAGTTGCAATTTAAATAATATAAATGGAATACCCTGTTTATCATCGCATTTTTAAATTCTCCATTAAGAGCTGATTCCATCATTTCACCACACTTTTTGGATCCAGCGGAAATTATTACAGAGATATACATAGGGTGTTCAAAATCGAATTATCCAAATTTAGGATTTTTTTTGTGCCGAATTCATTCATTATTGGTCAAAACTTCTCACATATCACGATCTTAAATTTAAATTTACTATCCACTGACATTTAATTGTAACAGATATGAGGTGTGGTTCAAGATTCAGAAAATAGATCACCCTGTATCTGTTCCAATTATTCTACCACAAATTGAAAATATTCAATTCAAGCTCTCTGTTTCTGATTTTTTTTCAGAATTTATTGTTGAAAATACAGAATATGTGAACTGTAAGGAGACAATGTCAGAACAAAGGTCACAAAACATTCTCAGATGTCTTAGAGTCAATGTTGAATGTTGAAGTTTTCAATCGAAACTGGAAATTCGAACATTCCACGTCTAAAAAAAATTTAAAAAATAAAATTCAAATAAAATAAAATACTCAGGTACAATGTAAAAAATATTTTTGAGCTTGCAGCCTCTTGGGCTTGGGGCCCTATTGGGTCCCGTGGCATTTTGCCAGCCCTGTCACCCTATTGTTACGCTACTGGCTTTCGGGGTGTGTATAGCTTGCGGACTGGACAAAAATGCTGCGGACTGGCTATTTTCAGCAAACAAATTGTTGTTTTTATTGCATATCTGGATTCAGCTCATCGAACTACACGATGAAAAGTTTTCGAAATTTTTCTTCAGCCCCCCTGGGGAGCACTTTACTCGTGTGTTTTTCATAAAATCTTGCGACTGCGTATTTTTACCAGTCAAATCATCTCAATTTTCTCAAAAATCAATTTATCTCATTAAATTACAGGTTAGAATTTTTTTTAAATTATTCCCCAGCTTCCCTGTAGGGCACTTTACTCGTGTGTTTTTCATAAAATCTTGCGGGAAAACTTTTCATCGTGCATTTTCATCAGTCAGTCAGATTTTATCAGTGTGAAATCATCCACGAGTTCCAGCCACGACTTACAACCAATGGTCGTTCATTATTAATTTATATTCATGGCTGGCCATGAAATTACTGAAACCTCTAGATATGTCCATGGATGAAACTATTTCCCATCAATAGATTCCTCTAAGGATCTATAATAATCTGTATATCTCACAATGATTTGTCGGACAAGAACGAGGACAAGAATTAACTTCACATCCCCCTCTTTCAGAATTTCGAAGAAAAAATCATAACTTTTAAAAAATACACGTGAATGGGAGTTTTTTCCTAGAAATATGTTTCTGTGATGGTACCTGATAATGTGTATATCTCACAATATTTTGTCGGGCAAGAATTAACCTCAGAAATTTCAAAAAAGGGGGTCTGTGGGGTTAATTCTTGCCCGACAAATTATTGTGAGATATACACATCATCAAGTACCATTAGAGGAACACATTCATAGAAAAAAACTGCCATCCACGTGTATTTTGAAAAATCATGATTTTTTTTCGAGATTCCAAAAAAGGGGGCCTGTGGGGTTAATTCTTGCCCGACAAAATATTGTGAGATAGACACATCATCAAGTACCATTAGAAGAAGGAAGTCTCAAAGCAATAACGGGATTTCTAACGGGGCATTGCAGACTCAAAGAACACCTAAGGAAGCTGAACCTGATGATCGTTGGGTTCTTTTATGGCTGTTCAGTCGGTTCAAAATTTAAGTATTCCTTTACCCGACTGATTTTTTGGTGAAATGACCCCATGGCTTTTTCAATTTTTATTTCATAATGTGATTTCCACATGGCCTTATCGGTATGTTCTTTCCTCTGTAAATTAAATATCTTTACAGGTACTGTGTACTAATGTGTCTGAAGATGGCTGTTTCAGTCGTCACAATACGTTTTGTGTAATATATTTTTTGTGGTCGACCGACTTGGTGTAATTTTGTTTTTTCTTTGATCACGAAGATATTCACGTTCGAAAAATGAAATACAGGGTGTTCCGTGTTGAAAGGGAATATTCTCAGATAAATTATGAACATACGAAAATGGATATTTATATTTATATAAAGCAATACATTGAGAATTCGCATTCTCTATGTGATGAGAATATTTACTCTTTTTCAGTTAATTCAATAGAAAACAACTACTTTCCTGGCTATATGCCACGACGAACATTGAATTATATCTTTTGAACACACACGATAAGAGTTTGAAAATAAAATATAAAAATTTCTGAAATTGAGAATTTGCATCCTCCTTCAGACAAAAATATGTATATACACACATCATTCTGAATATTCAACAGAAAACAACTACTTTCCTGGCTATTTGCCACGTCGAACATTGAATTATATCTGATGAACATTCAAAAGGAGAACATGAAAAATGAATAAAATCCTCCGAAATTGAGAATTGATATTCTTCTTCAAATCGGATGAATAATATGATGAATAATGATCTAGAAATATGACTTACCAATATATTCAGCATTGAAATGAAAATTGGAATGTATAGGAGAAGTATACTGGCATGAACTCTGATCTTGATGAGCTTGAAAACGTCCAAAAATAATCATTCATATCAGTGATATGGGAAATATTATCTCTCACACACAGGTTATATATGACTTTATTATTATTTATTTTTGTCTGAAGGAGAATGCAATTTCTCAATTTCAGAAATTTTTATATTTTATTTTCAAACTCTTATCGTGTGTGTTCAATAGATATAATTCAATGTTCGTCGTGGCATATAGCCAGGAAAGTAGTTGTTTTCTATTGAATTAACTGAAAAAGGAGTAAATATTCTCATCACATAGAGAATGCGAATTCTCAATGTATTGCTTTATATAAATATATATCCATTTTTTTATGTTCATAATTTATCTGAGAATATTCCTTTTCAACACTTTCATACCCAATCAGGGGGTTCAAACTTGAACGATGAAAACTTGTGATTTTTATAGACCTCTAATCGCAGATTCGTGATAGAGTCTCAATTCAGAATTCATTTCCACGCCCTGTATGATGAATGTCAATTTATCATACACCCAAAAGCACAGGGTGTTCCATTTGAAAATCGAAAGTTTATGTCATTTCCAGGAAAACCGGAAGATGAAAAAAAATCCTAATATGTGAGAAAGTGCCCTCTAGCGAGCATATTCGATGTTCCAAATTTCAGAAACATAGCTAGAAAAACAAACGAGAAAAAGGGGTACCTATACCATGAGTCATTGTTGCCCGGTTTATGTCGTTTAAGAATAGAATAACAAATTCGAATAACCACAGCACTGTTAACATACAGAGAAGTGCACAAAAAACGGCCAGCATTGTAACTTTTGAATTATTCTAGATAGGGTTTTTAAAATTGGTGGGTAGCAAGTATACCAAATTGCTCATTGATTGATGAAACAATTTCTCTTCTATCACTTCAAGTTTCATCGGAAACGACCCCAACTTTTGATTCTCAACTGGGACACCCTGTATTGTATTCCATAATCGGTTAGGGATTTTCATGACGAATTCAACGATACCGGGTTTGATAGGGTTATTTCAACGATTACGAAGATATTTATGTTCATCCATAGAACGGCTAGGCTCTGGAATTCATTGCCTGTGGAAGTATTCACAACATATAATCTCCAAAAGTTCAAAAAAAATTCCAATACATACCTCCTGTCCCTATCCTCCCCAGGAACCCACGATGTTCTTTGAACATTATAGGGATTCCCTTTCGTGCGCTCCAAGCGATTAAAAAAAAATAACCCTATCAAACCCGGTATCGATGAATTTGTTATGATAATCCCTAACCGATTATGGAATACAATACAGGGTGTCCCATTCAAAAATCAAAAGTTGGGGTCGTTTCCAGCAAAACCGGAAGTGATGGAACCAAAATTGTTTCGTCAATCAATAAGCAATTTGGTTTACTAGCTGCTCACCAATTTTCAAAACCCTATCTCAAATAATTCTAAAGTTACAGTCCTGGCCGTTTTTTGTGCACCTCCCTGTATATGCCTCTTTCCCAATGAAACACACTGTACAATTTCATCTTATAATTTACATTACTGCTTTCTCTGGGGGGGTTTCAAACCCTAAAATCCCCCTGTGATGCATCTGAAAAGTCGATAACCTTTTCTACAGAGGGTTATCAGTATTTTGCGTTGATGGATGTTCCAACAACAAAGTCGACCAAAAACTTCAAAACATTCGAGATTCATAAGTAAATATACCTACCTATACTCGAATCAAACTTTTTTTAGTTCATTTTTTCTTCTGTTACAGATCCCATATGACCTAAGATGCTGATCTCAGGGTTTTTGGTTGTTGGTCTACTTGGCTTGGCAGAATCATATACGAGTAAGTATTTGACAAAAAAACATCAAGTGGATACGAAAACGTATAGTAGAGGACAATCAATAACTTTTCCTACGACCACCTATGAAAACAGCACAAAAAACACATTGATTTGTTATTGAGAAAGTGACTCGTTTCACTATGACAACATATAACAGTTAGAAAGTTCGAAAGCCAAACTCACATGGGTGGAAATATTCGAAAATCGCACAGTAACAGGGTCTATAGATTATGATTTACCAATGAATGATTATTATGCTGAATTATGGTAAGTTAACTTATGGTCAAGTTAATGGAAAGTTAGTGTCGATTCAACATGAGTTATTGCGTTACCACCGATACAACAAGGCCTGCATGCTCCGTGGGTGACGTCACTTAGTGAGGCCTAACCAGCGGCTCGAAACGACAAGCGCTTATAGCGCTATAAGGCGACCGCGTATTTCGATTTTAGTTTTAGATCATCATTGAGCCGATTTTGCTGTTTTTTGAAGGGCTTCCGGTTAAAAAAGGATGCCAGTCGTCAACTGAGCCCTTCTTCGCACCCCATTCGATTATATTATGGAAAAACGAAGTTTTAAAGCAAATACCAGGATAAAACACAAATATCCACCTACAGCAACCTATTCGAATTAAATATATTGGCAAAAATTGTGGTGAAGGTAAACTTCACACCTACTTATACAGGGCCCGCAGAACATAAACTTATCGTGAGATTGATCGAGAGAAAATTGTGGAAAATGTATTTTATTTTGATTGACATGCCGTTTGTTACAATTACCTATATTTGTCTTGGAGAATTCCTATTACCTGAAAAAATAACCAGTGAGTGTTTTCAATTTTCTGTTGTTGGATTTTTCACCCAAGTGGATCGTTACACTTGAAACCGTAATTTTTAAGGGTAAAACTGCATTTATCATGCGATGGTTTTTTGTTTTTGAAAATTTCTTTCGGTACTCACGTATTTTTGTCTGATAAACCGAATTTTATAATGAAAATGTGAACAAACCACTATTTATTGAGATATTTCAAGAAAAAGTTCGAAATTTCGCCTTCTTTTTCCCCTTGTGTTGGGGGCATTTGAAGCGACTTGCTCTTATTTTGTCATTGGACACTTTATATATACTCATGATGTACTTCGATGGCACATTTTTATATAGAAAATTCAACGGGAAATATGATTTTTATGGCGAGTTTTTCATATTTAGTGAACAAGCATTCCAGATGACGACCATTTAATCAATAGTCAATCAAAATACGAGATGTCAAATGTCAATAGATTGCTTTCGAATGACATTACACACGCCATTATTTTGGATGATATTCTTCCTTCTTTTCACTAAATATGGATCAATCTCAAGAAAATCATATTTATAGTTGAATTGTATATAAATTGTCCAATATGATGGAAAAAGAAGGGAAATTTGTTCTAAATGCCATCCAGAAGTCAGGTGAAAAAGAAGGTGAAATTTGGAACTTTTTAGTCAAATATCTTCATGATAAATATCATGATAAATGCAGTTTTACCTTTTTAAGTAGAGTGTTTGTAGTTCATGTTAATATGATAGTTGCAATTTGATCATTGGAATGAATTCTGCATTCATTGCCACGAGGCAAATGACCGTTTTCAGAAAGAAATTTGAGAATGAGAATTAAAAATGCATTCAAGAAAATTTCCTCGAATTCAGAGATGATTTTGTTGACTATAATATACGAATACAAAACTAACTGCACAATCAAAGCTTTTCTATTTTTCCTCTACTTATACTTTTTATGAGAGAGTAATTGTCTTCTATTATCAATTCATCATTATAAATTAAGCTCTGTTTACTACTGAACTTAGATGGAGTAAAATCTTCGCGGTGAATTGCATGTACCCACATTTTCGATAGCTCCTCGTCCAACGGGAAACTAAAAGCATGAACTTTTGAACCACCCACATAATTCCCCCGACAAAAGGGAACACAACACTTGAAAGGCATTGTTATTTCGCCGATAATAATAATAATAATAATAATAATCCGTCTTTATTTCCTCAAAAGAATATTACATAGTAACATGAGGCATAGGTGGTATGTGCATCAGGCGAAGTTTAGCTAGGAAGCTATTCTTACACTTAACCTGTGCTCGACTTATAACCTAATCCTAATACTAACCCTAAAAACCTAAATCTAGCTTGACATCAACATTTTCACTTATTGTCTCACATGTAAAGTATGATTCAACAAATTGCTCTTAATTTTTTTACGGAATTGCGTCGATGGTGATTGTTTGAATTCTATTGGTAATGAATTATACAGTATAACCGAGTTGTATGTGAAGCTTCTTTCAAACAGAGACGTGGTATGATGAGGCATTGTTAATTTTAGCTGATGTCTAATATTTATATTATGGACATTTTGTCTGAAAATGAGTTTTTCTCTAAGATAAGCTGGAGTTTGATCCTTAAGCAACTTGTGAATGAAATTAAAGAAATAATATTTTGAGGAATTGCTCATATCTAACCACTGAAGTTCCCTGAGTTTATGGGACACATGATCATATTTTCTCAAATTGAAAATGAGTCGACAACATGTATTTTGAATTTTCTGGATTCTGTAAATGGTTCTTTGTTCTAAACAGGAAAAATAAACGATGTTACAATGCTGGAAAATTGACAGTATGAGACACTCACATAATTGTTTCCTCAGATTTAAACTCATGATGCTCTTGTTTGCAAAGAGCAATCTTAATCGTGCATATGAGCGCTGTATTAATGTCTTGACATGTTCGACAAATCTTAATTTTTCATCAATGATGTGTCCTAGATTTTTCGATGATGTCGAGTATTCTAAAGATGTATCCCCTATGTGCAATTGTATACTTTGTTTGAGCTGTTCTCTCACTCCTTCAGAACAAAATAAGATAGCTATACTTTTGGTGGAATTCAATGTTAAATTATGCTGAACAGAATATTGACTGATGGCTTGCAAATCGCAATTTATTTCCTCACAGGTATCAATTGCAACAGAGGGGTCAAAATGATGCACAAGTTGTGTGTCGTCTGCATAAGTTTGAAGATTTGAAAATTTTATTTTATCATAAATGTCTGCTGTATATATCAAGAATAAAAGAGGGCCAAGAATGGACCCTTGAGGAACACCGGAAATAATGTGAGCTGGACGAGACAAAACATCATTTATTTTAACCATCTGATATCGATCGAAGAGGTAGCATTTGAAAAAACGAACAGCAGGATGGGCAAAGCCATAATATTTCAGTTTACTACACAAAAGATCATGATCAATACAATCGAAGGCTTTGGAATAATCAAATCAAATAATCAAATATCAAAATTGAAGCCATCTTTTTATCGCGAGATCTGAATATGTCATCAGTTAGGTTCAAAAGTGAGGTAGTCGTACTGTGACCTTTGCGAAATCCTGATTGATGGAGCGGTAATATATTATGTTCATCTACAAAAGATGTTACTTGATTACATACGATTCTTTCCAGAACTTTGGATAATACACATAACAAACTGATTGGTCTCAAATCCGTGACATTTTTTGGAGAATTATTTTTTGCTATCGGGTTAACAATTGCTAGCTTCCATTTATTTGGAAAATACCCTTTTTCTAGGCAGCAACTTATAATATGCGTGATGTGATTTAGTATTATTGGAAGACAGAGTTTAACCATATGTAGGCTTATATTGTCTACTCCACAAGCGTTAGATTTCAAAGAATATATTGCGTCTTTCACAGTGTTAGTAGTAACTGGTTCCAGTTTGAAAATATATGGGTGGAACATATTATTGTCATAATGTTCACTAGTATCTTGACAAGAATCGCTTTTCTTGAAAACCGATATAAAAAAGTCATTAATTTCATTTGGATTTTGTAAGCTGTTTGGTAGTGGTACGTAATTATTTGATTGTATTTTCATATGTTTCAAGGTTTGCCATAATTCCTTCGATTTATTTGCAGATTTTAAATGAGATAGGTATAAGCTGCTTTTTCCCTCCTGAGTGATGCTAAGGCAAAATTTCGCAGGTTTTTGTAACTGTCCCAATTTTCCTTTGTTTTATTCATCTTGAATCTAGCAAGGGCAGCATTTCTCAAATTGAATATGATTTTCAAATTTTCAGTTATCCAAGGAGCAAATGGCTTCGTAACTCTTACTTTCTTTATCGGGGCGTGAATACTGAATAACATCAAAATATTGTCTGTGAGATATTCAAGTTTAGAATCTATATTTTCAATGGAATATATGTCATTCCAAGTAATCGGTAACCGATCACAACACAAAATATTTCACAAAACAGTGATTTTTCCGCCAATTATTTTGATGAATAAACAACAAAAGAATTCGGGACCGTTTCAAAAACATACGTGAATCACCGATGAATTAACACGAACTGACGCGTTAGTCGACAAGCGATAAAATAAAATACTGGCCTCTCTTGGCGACGTCACGAGCTGTTTACGTCAGAATCTGCTGGCCTTGTTGTATCGGTGGTAACGGTTATTGTCGTTAATGTTGACGTAATGTTAAGTTGATGAAAAGTTGAAATCGAGTTAATTTCAATTGAAAGTTGAATTAATGTCAATGTATTGGCAATTTAGTGATTAATGTGAAGTTAATTTGATATTGAGTTGATGTTAATTTGATTTTAAGGTAATGTCAAGTTAATTTTGAGTTAATGTTGATTTAATGTTAATATTGAATAATTATTGAGTTAATGTTAAGTTGATGTTAAGTCGATGTTAGGTTAATTTTAAGTGGATGTTAAGTTAATGTTGAGTTAATGTTTAGTTCATATTAAGTTAATGTTAAGTTAACGTTAAACTAATGATGTCATTTAAATATTGAAGTAAATTTAGATAATAATGATAATGATATCACCTTCATGTGATCGAATATGATTGGAAACATGATCCCTACTCTGGTCTTATAAACACTCATGACATATAATATAAAAATATTTGTGGTCGTAGGAAAAATAGTGTACAAAACTCGTTGGAGAGTGCATTTCCTGCTCTCGTTTCGTTTCTTCTTCCACTCGCGCGAAATATGTCACTTTCCACACTAGTTATGTAAATTGCCCTGTGGGAAGTGCGAGGGGAAGTGGGAGTATTATCTTTGAAATGATATAACGGTGTAACGGATTAACTTACACTGAATTTTAATGTTGATATTGTGCCTATTTTCCGAAAATGACGGTTTATCGAACCTTTCGACAGGTAATTCTAATCCTTCAGGTTGGGACAGTAGGATATACAGGGTGTATCTAAATAACAACCGAGAAAATTCCATATAAACATGTGTCCTAACTTGCTTCGTTTTCGAGATACAGGGTATTAATATTTCCATGCAAAAATGTGTTTCCATTCATTTCTCAATTGTCTTTTTATTAATTTCAATAAAACGTTGTGGTTTTGTAAATAGTAATATGGAGCTTCTTCTAGTGCAATTAGATTCGAAATAATATTTCCAGTGGCGCCACAGTGGGTAAATTTATCGATATTCATGGTGAATGTCATTTTACGCCACCGATTTGCATATTTTTATTAGATTGAACTTTTGAAATATCAACTTTCGTACCAGAATTTCACCTGACGAAGCTACTGAATTAGCGAAACATGTCCTGTGACTAAAAAAATTGTGGAAATCTCATCGTTTGTGAAGTCTTTACATTTGCTATGGATTTCCATCGAGTAACGGCTGACTCAATTAAAAACAAGAGAATAATCTTTGGAAAAAGTTAGACGTACAAATACCTATATTTCATGACCATACAAAGAAATGCACAAAAAACGGCCAGGACTTTTGAATAATTCGAGATGGGGTTTTGAAAATTGGTGGGCATCTAGTATACCAAATTGCTCATTAATTGACGAAACAATTTTTGTTCTATCACTTCCGGTTTTACTGGAATCGACCCCAACTTTTGATTTTTGTATGGGACACCCTGTATTGTATTCCATAATCGGTTAGGGATTGTCATAACAAATTAGTCGTTACCGGGTTTGATAGGGTTATTTCAAACGATTACGCAGATATTAGCGTTCTAAGTTTCCATATGCTCAATGAATGTGACAGAGAAAGAAGTTTTGATATATTGCGAACTCACACCCATTGAGCATATGGAAACTTCGAACGCAAATATCTTTATAATCGTTTGAAATAACTAGGGATCGACCGATATAGAAACTTTAGCCGATACCGATAATCGACCGATACCGATATTTCAAATACCGATATACCGATATATCGGTCTATCGGCCGTTAACAAGTTTTCTCTGAAGCTGGTAATATTTTTGATGCAAAACGTAGCAAGCTAACTCCTGATAGGGTAGAGAGCTTATTGTTTTTGCATCACAATCTACCAAAACTAAATTATCAGTATTAATCAGTTATTTTTGTATTTTAGTAAGGTGAAATAATTTTACCTTACAGTTGCAATCCGCATAGGGTTTTATTTTAATCATTTTCAATTACTAGTCAAAGATTTTAGTTGATTTTACATTACATACTTTTTATTGGTAATAAAGATATATTTTTGATGGAAGTGTATTTTTTCCATTCATTTTTCAAATTGATTTTTTTCACAATAAAAAAATATATCGGTCTATCGGTCTATCGGTCCGAATTTTGAACTAAGTCAGACTTTTTTGAATTAATTCATTTGAAAAAAAAAACAAAGAAATTTCATTTACCCAAAGCGAAATAGAAAAAAAGAAACAAAAAACTATGTTTTTATTCCCTCCAGAAATCTTGTAGAATAACATCATAATATAACATGTCATAACAAAATTAAAAGTGATGATAGAAAACAAAATAATAGATACATATGGATCCAGTATCATCCATAAAGTTCGTAACACTGGAGAAAAAGTTTATCAGTAGAATATCGAAACATTTTTTCTCGGGGATCTATTATGTCACTTGGTCACTGGTATGGCGGTAAATTAAAAAAATTACGATGGTAAAAAGTGGGGTTAGATGGGAAGATGAAGTTATTTAAAAAATATATAAATAGCTATTTTCAGTTTTCTCAAATAATGGCTGGAAACTCCATATGTGAGCATGAAATTGAATTCTATTCAACTTGTACATCATCAACATCACTACTGTCAAAAAAAAAGAGAATTGTAACAAAGAAGAATATTTGATAAAATATTCTCCTCCAAAAATTGCTCGAAACTGAATGTGGAATAGCAACTTAATGAGAAGTGTTTATGGATATTTTGTTATCTAACCCCACTTTTCGTCGCTTTATAGTATTATTTTTATTTATCACGTGACATGTGTCAAAATCGATTTTCAAGTTATCGGATATGCATAATGGATCGCCGAGAGAAAAAAATTCGATGCTGTGATAATAAACCTGTTCTCATATGTTATGGACTTTGTGGATGATACTTGATACTGTATATATCTGTTAGTAAAAATCTCTGTCATGCTTGAAATAACAAAGTCTTGCCAAAATACGATCGAATTTTTCAGTTTAAACTAGTTAAAATCAAAGGTAATAGTGCAATTTGTCTCATTTTTGAAAATTTGAATGAATTCATGACTTTTTCGAAAAAAGTCAATGGAATTAATTCACGAATTAAATCACTGATTTAATTCATATGAATTAATTCATGCCAAACCTGCAATACAGGGTGTCGCATTTGAAAATCAAAAGTTGGGGTGGCTTCTGGTGATACTGGAAGTGATAGAAGAGAAAAATAGTTTGATCAATTAATGAGCAATTTGTTATACTTGCTATCCACCAATTTTCAAAACCCTATCTAAAATAATTCAAAAGATTATATCCTGGCCGTTTATTGTGCACTCCTCTGTATAATGACATTTTGCAGAGTATGGAAGAAGCTGTAAGGACATCGGGTGTCCCAGTAGTCAGACTTGTGTCATGGAAACAGACCCCTGCAGCTATTACCAACGACAAGGTGAATGTGGATCGTAAGTAAATATTACGCACTACCGGGCGTAAAGTAACACTTCATCGCCATGTATTGCGAGCGTAAACTGGCACTTCAGCGCCTGAGGACTTTTTTTGACGAGGTGGTTGAAATACTTTATGGACACCATATGGGTCTGGGAGTCTCTTGACTCTAGCTAGGTATACACACTAAACACTCCACCCCGCTTGTAGGCTCGTCTAACCGATATCTCCGATGGCACTTGAGCCTAATGGCCTATCCCAGATAGGTTAGGTTAGGTCGATTTCAATGCAAACAAAACACAAGCATGCCTTTTCTCTAGAAAAGCCGATCTCACTGTGCCCAACATAAGCTTGTCAGGAGCATATACGTATTAATAATAAATACGGATAATCTCTATCTGTTTCCATAGCGAAACATGAAGCCGATTTTTGAAGACAAATGACTATCCATAAGGAGAAGTTTTGAAACGATCAGACACATACTGCTTTGATTGAAAGGCTAGTAAACGTCATTGTCCACAGAAACGCATGTCTTTGATGACTACATGGCGCATGCGTATCATGCCACCAAATCCTTATGGATATTCATTTGTTTCATATTTTTGGCTTCATCCTGGCACCCGTTATGATCCGTATTGTTTATTAATACGTATATGGGCATAATACCAAAATATAGCTTTGAAAAAACTTTTAAAATAAGTATAACGGACAGAGAGGCATGGAAGGAAGGACCTCCTATCAATGCAGACATTGCCGTCTATACGGACGGCTCCAAAACTGAGGAAGGATCAGGAGCTGGTATTTATGGGGCCAAGCCAAAGACAAGAATCTCACTGAGCTTAGGCAAATACGCGACGGTGTTTCAGGCAGAAATTATTGCAAATACATCATTGCGTGAAAGAATTGATAAGGCAAGAGTTTAATGGCGAAACCATTGCAATCTATTCAGATAGCCAGGCGGCAATCAAAGCAGTCAACTCTGTGCAAGTTAACTCAAAACTAGTATGGGACTGCTTAGAAACCCTAAATACACTGGGCAGTCAGAACAGATTGATTCTAGCATGGGTACCAGCACATACAGGGTACGAGGGCAATGGAGAGGCAGACTCACTTGCCCGAGCAGGAGCAAACAAAGCTCTTAATGACCCAGAACCCTTCTGTGGTATTGCGAAAGCGATACAAAATACTATTATCAAATCATGGATGCAAACCAAATCTCAAGAATGGTGGAACAACTCGCCAGGAATGAGACAGGCAAAAGAGTTTATTAAAAAACCATTGCCAACATTCACAGAATATCTACTGAGCCAGAAACGAAGTTCAACTAGAATACTAGTGGGACTTCTCACAGGGCATTGTAGGCTCAACAAACACATGAGTACGATAGGTCTGACTGAAGAACTGCTGTGCAGGTTCTGTCAAGAAGAGGAAGAAACAGCAGTACACATACTTTGCCACTGTGAGGGCTTGTCAAGACTAAGGTTCCTTACGCTGGGTGAGGAAAAACCAGGAGCCCAGAGATACACAGGAGATCTGAAAGCTAGCCTATGGAGTCTCATAGAGAAGGCGGGGCTAGCCGAAGAACTCTTCGATTTTGAGGGCAGACACTATATGTAGATCTGAAAAGGTTGCAGTGTGGAGGCAGATAGCCCGAAGGCCCCACTCCAAATCTAAGGGGTTCAAACTTGAACGATGTGAACTTGTTATATTCATAGACCTCAATCGCAGATTCGTGATTAGGTTTTCTCAATTCACAAATTCTTTCCACGTCCTGTATGATGAATATCAATTTATCAAACATTCGAAAATAAATAGTGTCATATGACTTTTCGTTTTTATTTAATTATGTATTGGTCGTAGAAACAAATAATAAATATCTCCGTATTTCCAGTTATCCAACGTGCAAAAGAATGAGCTCTGACACAGCAAGAACATGCGCCACATATGTTTGCCCCCCTACAAAAGTATGTAAAATGGATGACAACACACCGAAGTGTGTAGACGATCACAGCAAAGGTAAGAATAATTATTTATTCTATACAAAGAAAAAGAGTATAGGATTTTTCATCAAGGGTGTGTTTAGAGACAAAAAACAACAAACATATTTTTTGACATACCTCGTATACGATGAAAAAAATTGATATCTGACATTTGCATTCTCAGTTTTAGCATAGATTTTAGACATTGCAAAACTTTTTTATAAAAAATATTTAATCATTAATAATTGATGATTAAGAAGTTGTCCATACGAATCGATCTCAACCCTAATAGCAGAATTATGTCCCATGGACATCCTTAGGAAGTCCTGCCGGGACATTTAGGACCGCGGACGTCATTGGTTGTTCATGGTTGTTCTAGAAGGAATATTATATTAGATCTGAAGTCATGCCAGAATATGCACTACTTGGGACATCCGATGGATGTCCCTAAAGAAACGTTTGAAATTAAATCCCATGTCCCTGCCAAGGACGTCTCTGCATGGACATTCACGTGGGACGTCTGAAGGATGCTATTTCTAGAACATTTGAAATGATGTACCAGCTGGGACATTCCTTGCTCGGGCAATGTATGAGATGTGCGGGATGGGACATCCCAAGTACAATTATTTTAGATCGGGGACATTTGGACTTGAAGTGTTCCAAATAGGGACGTCCCTAGGACGTTGTGTGGAAAGAAATGTTCATCGTAGATACATTTAATCAAATATTTGAAATTAGTTCAATTGTAGTTAACACTTCACCGTAACAATTTTCAATATTGTCGAAAATAAAGGTATTCTAAGTCGTGGAAACTATCCATTTTCTCAAAGTGGTCCAGAATTTTTCGAAGGAAAAATACAAAAAACCCAAAGTCGGTCGACCACAACCCAATTTATTACATAAGACGTGTGTAACTAGTTTCGGCGCTCGGCCATCATCAGACACATAATATAAAGCACCTGTAAGGAACAACGATGAAAAAACATAAAAGCTACTGATGAGAGGAATCTTACCATATGCAGCAATATTTATTAGGTTGAACATATTGTAACGGGGGTTGTCAGCCGGGAAAAAGCAGTCCTAATTGTACAAAACTAATTTATATAGCGGCTGGACAAACAGAAATAGCTATTAACTATCTGGTTGAACTTTAGAAAGAAATTTAGTGGGAATGAATTGGGAAAAAATTTACACTCAAAAATTCATTGAGATCATCGTATGTAGGCTGGTGGCCATAAGACAAACCAAAATCAAGCACCACATGAAAAATAAATGACAGATAGACATTTTTGAAATTGACATCAGACATACATAGACATTCTTAATCAAACAGGCAACTATTCACGTTTAACTAAAAAGAGGAAATAATACCCCAATCAGTACCAGACATCTTAAAGACGTACATTTTACGACTTACTTACGTCTTTACGTCCAGGGACGTATAAAGTACGTCTTCAAGATGTAAATCCATGTACATCTTAAAGACGTACACGAATTTACGTCTTTAAGACGTACATTTTAGGTCGTATCCACGTCGTTCCTCCCATGTCGTATAAAAGACGTCTTAAAGACGTACATTCCAGTACGTCAATTCGACTTATAGAACAATAATGTAAGTTATTTTCTGAAGAAAAACAAAATGTCATCTCTTCACGTTTTTTATTTTCAATTGTTCAGTTTTTTCTTATTTTCAACAAAAGTGATGTTTTTGAATTTTTTCGTCCGACATTTCGGAGCCTTCGTGTTAGATTCTCGAATTTTTACAAAAAAATCATATTCTCCGACCCCAAAAGTCCCATAGTAATCAATTTTGAATAAAATCGGATTATAATCACAAAACTCGTCCGCCATTTTGAAGCCGACATCTTGGATTTTTCATTTTCGACAAAAGGAATTATAATCTCTGATCCCGAAATCCTTCAGATGCCAATTTTGAATCAGATCAGACCATAATCAGAAAACCATATATGCCACATTGGACTCACCATCTTGAATATTGAATTTTGATTCGAATCGGAACATAATCAATGAGAAAATCGTCCGCCATATTGGATCCGCCATTCTGTTTTTTCCATTCAATAATAATATCACAACGAATTGTCACCGGAATAATATCTACTTGCCAAATTTCAAATCAATCGGACGATTTAAAGTGAGTCAAATTTAACTTGCACGTTTGATTACAAACAGACACAAGGACTGTTAAACTAAGTAAAAGCTTGTTATGTGATATATAGAACAAACAGAGTAATAGAAGAAGTGAGTATGGTATAATCATCGAAGTATCGAAGTCAAGCAACAAAGAGCGCAGTTAGTACTTGAATGGGTGACCGCTTGTGTCTACCGTTTGATGAAGTCGTTTATTCCCCTTTTTTTTGCTTGTCTGCACTTGTTGCTAACTTCAGTGCACAGGTGAAAATTAACTGAAACTATGTGATTTTTCCGTAATTTGAAAGATCAATTTGAGGTCATGGACCAAAAACACCTAAAAAAGACGTCTTGAAGACGTACATATTAGTGGAAAATGTACGTTTTAAAGACGTCTTAAAGACGTCTCTTGGGCGTAATATGTACGTCTTTAAGACGTACTTATGTCCCGACATGTACGTCTTAAAGACGCCTTTAAGACGTACTTTGGCTGATTGGGACACATTGTAAATAGAATTATAATGACAGAGAGATAGGTGGCCAGGGTTTGTAAAGAGGGAAACGAATCAAAAGGAAGAAGAGATTGTACACAGTGTCATTAAATTAAAAAGAGCTGCTGTTGCTGTGTTCCATTTGTTGCCCACTTTTTCAAACACACTGGCATACCTGAAACCACACTAATACCTCCAGATATGATTATTCTGTATAAAGACACAATTTTTCACTAATATCAAGCCATTTCAATGATGAGAATCTGATGAACTATTTCCGAGATGGGTAATCGACATTCGACAGTCCTAGCACTTTCACCCAACCCTGTACATTTTCCAGTGGGCCTGGTAGCCTACGACACCCAAAGCCAGAACACGCTTGGGCAACAAGGCGGCTCCCACCCCAACCAGGGCAGCCACGTCGGCCAGGGAAGCCAGGGTAACCTCTACCCTGGCCTACCCGCCAGGGGAGAAACCACGCCCAGACCGAACATCTACAGGCAGCCAGCGCAGGGCGGTGGTGGATACCAGGGCGGCCAGATAGGGTCAGGGTACCCTGGCCAGGGTGGTCAGATGGGGTCAGGGTACCAGGGCGGGCAGATCGGGTCAGGGTATCCTGGCCAGGGTGGCAGGTATCCTCAGCAAGGGTACGGACAACAGGGGTATGGAGGTTATCCAGGTAGGTAGTTTTAAAAGCTTTCATGTTACTCGAAATTTTTGATTTTGTATCCCTGAAATCAGATTTTTTTGAATGAAAATACGTTGGTAACGAACTTTTTTGGAAAAAATCAGCGGCCAGATAGAATCATGTAACCTGGCCAGGACAGCCAGATAGTACCTGGGTGCCAGGGCGTCATATTGGTTCAGGATACCCTGGTCAGGGCGCTCTGATAGGGTCAGGGTATCCTGGCCAGGGCGGGCAGGTAGGGTCTGGCTATCCTGGTCAAGACGGGCTTGAGGATCAGGATATCCTGGCCGCAGCATGGGTACGGGCAACAAGATTATGCAAGGTATCCAGGTAGGTTTTTTTACAAGCTTTTATGATGTAAATTTCGATTTTCAATCCCACAAATTGAAGTGTGAAGTTTTCGGTAATTTTGTGCTTATAATGCGATGGTTCTTTCTTCGAAACATCTATTACTCAGGTATTTTTGTCTGGAAAACACGAAGTTTATAATGAAAATGTGGACAAACCACTATAAATCGAGATATTCCACGAAGAAGTTCAATAAATAGTGGTTTCTTCAAATTATCATTATAGATTTGGTGTTTCTTGAATGAGAATACCTAGGTAACAAACGTTTTTCGGAAAAATCTGGGTGGCCAGATAGAATCCGGTATATCCTTACCAGGGCAATCAGATAGTGCCTAGAAGTCAGGGCGCCAGATAGGGTCAGGGTATCCTGGTCAGTGCTGGCATATAGGGTCGGGGTACTCTGGTCTGGGCAGCCAGATAGGGTCCGGGTATCCTTGCCAGGGTGGTCAGATGGGGTCAGGGTACCAGGGTGGTCAGATCGGGTCAGGGTATCCAGGACAGGGTGGCAGGTATCCTCAGTAAGGGTACGGAACCTGTGTTTGGTATCCCCAAAACCTCAATACGCGGCTGGCTGGCAAGGTGGATGCAAGAAAGACATCAGGCATACTGGAACAATGTCCCAGGACAAAGACACAGTGAACTGATGGTTGGAACACTGTCCAAAACAGTGACTAACGACATTCTGAGCCTAAACAGAAGTCAGATCAAACAAGTGACGGGACTAATAACCGGTCACTGCCCCTTGAGGAAACATATGCATCAAATGGGCATCTATAAAGACGAACCCATATGCAGACTATGCAATGAGGAGGAGGAAACTGACACCCATGTAATATTGGAGTGCGAAGCACTAGCGCGTTGGAGATACAACCTTCTGGGAGCAGTAAACTCTCAAGAGGCATTTTCAAAGAATGATTTGGTAAAGAGGCTGCTGAACCTCATCAAGGTAGCGAACCTGTTCACCTAAGTCAACAGCATGATCAGGAATACAATAGGCCCAAAGGCTGCAGTGTTTTGGGCTTCGAACCCTGACTGATGATTCTGCTATTAATCAATCAATCAATCAATCAATCAAGGGTACGGGCAACAAGGGTATGCAGGTAATCCAGGTAGGAATTTTCACCAGCTTTTATGTTACTCGTACATTTTGATTTTAAATCCCTGAAATCAGATTTTTTCAATGAAAATACGTGGGGAGCAGACTCTTTTGAAAAAAATCAGCGGCCAGATGGAATCGGCTATCCTGGCCAGGGCAGCCAGATAGAGCCTGGGTGTCAGGGCGTCAGATAGGATCAGGGCATCCTGGCCAGGGCGGTCAGTTGGGATCATGGAACAAGGGCGGCAGATATCCGCAGCAAGGGTACGATCAAGAGGGGTATGGAGGTTTAACAGGGAGGTTTTTTCACAAGCTCTATGTTGTAAATTTTGATTTTAATTTCAAAAATTGGAGTGTGAACTTGCTGGTAATTTTGCGCTTATTATATAATGCGAAATGTTATGTATTTTCTTTTTTTTTATTTGACAAATGTAAAAACTTCACAAACGACATGTTTCGCAAACACAGTAGCTTCGTCAGGTGATATACTGGTGATACATCGTATAGATAATGTTGAAAATGTTGACAAACCACTATTTATCGAGATATTTCACGGAGAAGGTCGATAAATAGTGGTTTACTCACATTGGCATTATCAAATTCGTATTTTTCGGATAAAAATACGTATGTAAAAAACCTGTTTTGAAAAAATCAGGGCGGCCAGATAGAAATAATTCACCCCAGAATGTCACTGCGTTGAAAAAACTCCTATCAGCAAGTCCAAAAGAGGAATGCAATCGATTGTCATTGACACCTTCTTCTGAAAAATGTTCGAAGGAGAGTTTTGATGAAAATGGTAAATTCAAAATAAATTAATGTAAACATCCTGTAACTCATTTGTTTGCATATGTCACTGAGAAGTGTCAATATTGAAATGAAAAGACAATACGAGTAGAAAAATATTTTCCATTTTTTTTATTTTCGAAATGTGTACACGGAAAAAAAGGAATTGTTGAATCAAGCAAAATTTGATTGAATGGAGCAAATAAAAGTTTCATATATGCACGACAAAATATAATCTTGAAATGAGTAAATCTATATCTTGTTTCAGAGCGAATTTGAAGTTTGAATCAAGTTAATATGTCTTGTATGAACTCTGGATCTTCTTCAATCAAGCACATCCATGAATTGTTTATGAAGAGATATTGAATTGGCTCAAACAAACATTTTGTTTGATTCAAAATAACAAGATATCGATTCAATCAAATATTTAGTGTATTCAACGAAATATTTGGTTGATTCAAAGAAATATTTGGTTGAATCAATGAAATATTAAATTTGGTTGATTCAATGAAATATTTGGTTAATTCAATGAAATATTTTGTTGATTCAAGAAAAACTATATATCCATTCGACAAATTGTTTTATTGAACCAAATTCAATATTCGGAGATCTTCTGAAATTTCACATCAATAGAATAAACAAAACAAGGAAACTAGTCGACTCCTAGCATAGATCTTTAGTCTTTTCTTCTCTTTAGCTGATGGAAAACTATTTCGGATTGCTACTCATCCTAAGTTCGATTTATCCAGCTGATATTTCAAACACGAAAAATCAGGCTTCACGTATTGAGATAAAATCGGACTGTTGGGGCTGTCAGGGTTCATTATTTTATCTCGAAAATAATGCTAGGTATTTTTGCCACGACTACAAAGCCAAACTCAGGGAATAATTGACAGCAGTCCGATCCTCCCGAAAGTTTATAGTTCTGAATAGGCCCTAATTTCCTACAAACAAGGAAAGGATACTATAGCCCACCTTACAGCTGACTGTGAGGTAAATCCTAACCTCACAGGACAATTCCCACAATACTACCCCTGCCTAAGGTTCCTAACTTCCTAGAAGATAGCTAATCTTAATACTAGAGCTGCTAAGCTTCCGTCAAACCCGCCCAGACCACCACGTCGGCGTTGCACCGGGTACTGGGGGTTCCCTATCGCCTAGTCCTATCAAGGCTGAAGGCCTCTAAGTCCCTAAAATTATCCTGCCCTAATTCCCGACGCGAACCGTGTGTCCCGCAGGTACACTAAAGGCGTTTAACGTCACCCTAGGGAAGTGCAATGCTTTCACCTCCTGGCTACTAACGTATCCCTAGAGTTAGACGGCACCAGAAGGCATTCCGGAATGCCAGTGGTTGCTACGACGAGGTACCAAGGGATGTGGCCAGGCTCAACCACAAAGGTCCTTAGTCTTGGAGCCTTGGTACCGTACTGGAGCTCTTCTTTCTTGCAATAAGATAAGGGAGGACTAGGATCTTTATTCGGTAGGTGGGAATGATGACCTTTAATTTTGTCCCATTAGGACAGTTTTCTCATCGGAGCAACGAATTCTAATCCAACCAATTTGGTTGGTCACCCACTTTGGTTCGTATTCAAGAGCTGGCTGTAGACCTCTATTCTTCATCCACCCTGGTGGAATAATCGTCGGAAATACCAAACGGCTTTCTTCTAATATTTCTATCCCTTTGGAATAATCTTCTCAAATATCAATCGGCTTCTTCTATGTAATATTCCTTTTGGATAATCTTCTCAAATATCAATCGGCTTCTTCTATGTAATATCCCTTTTGGATTAATCTTCTCAAATATCAATCGGCTTCTTCTTATAATAGTACACATCCAACCCTATGGGAGTGATGTGGAGTCGCAACTCAAATACTAGTAGTTCACTCAGAACTATTAAAAACACTACCAACCATATAGGTAGCGGAGTCGAATCGGAACTGTCGCTAGCGGCAATTTGGCCGATATTTATCCCTATACGCGAAAAGCTCTTAGGCTCCGCCTACCGCGTTCTCGCAGTCTCTGCGCGCTGATTGGCTAATTCACAAATCGCGCAGTTGGAACTAAAATTCTCACACTCTCTTAGGCTCCGCCTACAGCGTTTTTCATGAAATCTAGAAGCCGATTGGTTTAAAGTTTAAATGACTACAAAACTTAACCATTTCTAGTTTATTTCATTCCTAATGAATGAAATGATAATTATTGATACTTTTAATAATTTTTAGGGTAGAAAGCCATGTTTGGTGACAGTATATAATGAACTCGAGGCAGGCATAGACGAGGCGAAATGATCGCCATCTAGAGGCGAAAATTTAAGTTGATGTAGAATGAACAAAATATTTCATTGCTATTACATATTTCGTTGCTCTATTCAAGCAAATCATCCGTTCGAAACGAGTTCATTGATACATAGGAATAAGAAAACTTGTATGTTGTTTCAAACATATAATCTCATCAAAATGATCATTATTTCATCAAATAAATCAGCAAAATGTTTATAGTTGAATCAACATCGACATCATTTTGAATCGACACAGTTTGTTTTTGAAGAAAGCATATATTTTGTTGATGGAATTGATATTATACTGTTGATTCGATTAGACTACATTTTTGATTTGAACAAGCTGCTTCCATGGAATAATCATGTATCTGGTTGATTCAACAAAAAATTGCTCAGTCCAACACAAATAACTCAAGCATAAATAATTTGTTGATGCAACAAATCCTTTTTTTCCGTGTAGGGGGCGAAAAAATGTATTGCGCTAAGTGGTCTCAATCCGGCTCTGTTCATTGTACACTGTTGCCAAGTATCCCAATAATTCTTGATCGTGCATACTCTGGAAATGTTTCATATTTTCAGGTGGGTATCAAGGCCAGGGGTATCAGCCCTACTCTGGCCAGGCGGGCTATCAGCTGCCCCCGCAGGGCGGTTATCAGCCCCAGGGCGGTTATCAGCCGCCCCAGGGAGGCTATAGACCGCCCCAAGGAAACACCAACCAGTACGGGCAAAAATCTTCAGGAACTTCTTTCACTGACCAGATCACGAATTCCTTGAAAACAATAGGTACAGACTATCTGAAGAATGCTTTGGCTAAAGCTCTTTCAGGGCGAAATTAAAAAAATATATTCTACAGTATACAGGGTGTTTTGGATTTAAGTGTAGTACGTCCCAGATAACACAATGATGTCCCATGCAAATGCACCTCCATGTCTGGACACCATGGACATCCATTGGCTATACAGTGTGTCCAGTTTTCGATGCTTTTGCCTGATATCTCAGTTATCTTTGGAGATAGAACCTTGCGGTTTTCGCGGTCCTGTGCCACTTTTTTGTGAATCTCAAGATGGCCTAATCAGATTTTGCAAGACTGTTTCCGTTTATTTATACTTTTTGGACCCCCTCTATATCCACGAAGTTTCTCAACAAAAATGTCAGATCAAAATCTTATCGCATTGATTCATAAGTTCATTGAATTCCTTATTTTTTTGTCTTCAAAATGATATATAACGAATGAATATAAAATTTTCAAAATTGCTCAAAATCACTAAAATATTGAATTTTGATAGTTGGTTATGGATTTTTCTTATAAAAAACATTCCAATTTAAGAAATATTTCTTCAAATTTTTCCATGGAGAGGTCAAAACCAATATCAACTCTTATTAATTAACAAAACACAAAACTTGGGTACCTGGTAGCGACAAATAAATAGTAATAAAAAGTGTATAATGTAGAATAAGCACCTGATTAAATATTAACGAAAACAATTGAATTCCGGAATTATTCAGTAACTTATTCATTGACATGTTCAAATTGATATCCATTTTCCCTAACATACAGTTGACAAACTTTCTTAATACTTCTTAATACAGTGAGTGGCCCAACATACTTGAAGAACTTTGTGCAACAACAGAGGCAGTTTTCCAGGAATTACAAAGACATCATTCAATGATTGATATGTATTGAGAAAGTTTGTGATGGAAAATGGACATCAATTTGAACAATTCAATGAATAAATTACTGAATAATTCCGAAATTCAATAGTTTTAGTAAATATTCAATCAGGTGCTTATTCTACATTATAAACTTTTTATTACTATATATTTGTGGATATCAGGTATCTAAGTCTTGTGTATTGCAAGTTAATTAGTGTTGAAATTGTTATTTCCCCCTTCATGGAAAAATCAAAGGAAATATTCCTTCAATTGTAAATTTCTTTATATGAAAATTCCTCGAAAAACCCATAGCCCACTATTGAAATTCAATGTTTTAGTGAATTTTGGACATTTTTGAAAATGTTATATTCATACATCATATTATATCATTTCGAAGGGAAAAAAATAAGGAATTTAATGAGCTTATAAAATACAGGGTGTTCAATTTAAAAAATCATAAGTTTGAGTCGTATCTTCAAAACCACACCCCGAAAAAAAAAATTCTGTGCGCCACTGGATTCTGCATAATATTCTCTATGGGTTAAGATTTTAATTTGACATTTTCGCTGATAAACTTCGTAGATATAGAGGGGGTCCAAAAAGTATAAATTTTCAAAATCGCCCTGTATCTCATAAACGGAAACAGTCCTGCAAAATCTGATTAGGCCATCTCGAATTTCACAAAAAAGTGGCACAGGACCGCGAAAACTGCAAGGTTCTATCTCCAAAGATAACTGAGATATCATGCAAAAGCATCGAAAACTGGACACACTGTACATTACATTTCTATGTGTATCCATTGGATGTCCATTGTATGACACATGTCTGAATTTTTGGACATCGCCACTGGATGTCCAATGTATGTCCTTCAGTCATCCAATGGATTGCGAATAGAATTCCAATTCGTGTCCATTGGACATGAATTGGAACCATCCATCCATCCATTGGACGTCCAATATATGACCCCTAATCATCCAATGAATTTTATATTTTGGTCCTATTATTGTTCCAAAAGCATGTGGAAATTTGTATCGGTAGGGATTCAAAGTAAATTTCTTTGCAGTGAAAGCTGAATTTAGAAAAGTATTTTCAAAATGTCTATTGTAATTGTGGCTGTCGGCGAGCAGTGTATATCACTGGAGATGACTCCACTTGACCATATTGTGTATTTTCAGTATATCTACCGCTCCTGCAAATTTCATAATCCTAACTCAACAAACAAAATGGATGTCCATTGGATGTACGAATTCAGATATTCATTGTTCATCTACAAAATGGATCTCAAATGAATATATAAAATTGGTTGTTCCATCTAGAAATGAATGCCCAATGGATGTACTAATTCATATGTCCATTGTACATCCACAAAATGGACATCCAATGATTTCACAAATTCAGATGTCTGTTGTATATCTACAAAATAGATGTCCAATGGATGTCCATGAACATTTCCCTGCCTGATGGACACAATATAGAAATTCAATAGATGTTCAAATTCAGATGTCCATTGTACATCTACAAAATGGATGTCCAACGGATGTTCATAGACAACCCTGATGGACACATAATGGACATCCAGTGGATACACATATGTGTTGTCTGGGGTACGATACCTGTGGATAGGGAACACTTTGGTGGTTCAGAACCACCCCCTCTTGATGTGTACAGGGTGATTCACCATAAATGTCCCCCCCCTCTAGCTCAGTTATTTTTGAACCGATTTCAAAATTTGAAATATCATCTTAAATGATTTTTGATAAAGTTTTTTTCCGCTACATCAGAAAATACAGGGTGCTCGGTACAAACGATCTACAGGGTTCTATTCGATTTTTTTAAATGGAACACCCTATTTTTCATTGTATCATTAGATTCTCCCTGAAGATCTGATTTCATCAATGCTTCACACTTAAGGTCTAGCGGGAATGATTACAGAGATATAGGGTGTTCAAAATTGAGAGTTTTCAACTTTAGGATTTTTTTGTGACGAAACTATTCATTATCGGTCAAAACGGCTCTCATGTCCGTATCTTAATTGTAGATTTACTATCTACTGACATTTAATAATTGGAACAGATACAGGGTGATCAGAATTCTGTATCTTGAACCACCCTGTAAATGTTCGAATTAAATGTCAGTAGATAGTAAATCAAAAGTTGAGATATAGAAGCAATTTTGACCAATAATGAATGGTTTCGACACAAAAAAATCCTAAAGTTGAAAAATCTCGATTTTGAACACCCTATATCTCTGTAATCATTCCCGCTATACCCCAAGTGTGATGTATTGATGAAATCAGCTCTTCAGGAAGAATCTCAAAATACAATGAAATACAGGGTGTTCCATTTGGAAAAATCAAGTAGTACTCTGTAGATCGTTTGTTCCTAGCACCCTGTATTTTCTGATGCAACGGGAAAAAAATTTCTGAAAAATCATTCAAGATTATTTTTCAAATTTTCAAATCGGTTCAAAAATAAGTGAGCTAGAGGGGGGGACATTTATGGTGAATCACCCTGTACAGCGTACTTCCATAATAAAGAATATAATTTTGAAAATTCTTGAGTAGGTCGTTTTTTGATGATCTATTTTTTTTACGATGAATTATTCAACCACCTGTCAACCCATACAGATCAACCCTTTAGAAATTTCTAAATTGTACAAGGGGTCCATAAGTTACTTACACCTTGTTAGAGAGATAAAAACCTACTAAATCTCTAAAAACGTTCTATTTTTTTTTTCAATTCGGTTGAATCATATCCGCAAGGAAGCAGTTAAAAGATTCGAAATTTAGTGGAATTCTTGTCAGAATTATTGCTATTGGTAGGTAACCTATTGTTTCAATATACAGTGCATCCCAAAAGTTCCTGTCCTACATTAATTGTGAAGCTAAATATGACCTAATCAGATTTTGCATAACTGTTTACTGTCTCCGTTTATGAGATACAGGGCGATTTTCAAAATTTACTTTTGTTGGACCCCTTCAATATCTATCCAGTGGCATACTCATCAATTTTTTTCAGGGTTCGGTTTTGGAGACCCGTCACAATCTTATATATTCTTCAACGGAACTCCATGTATTTCTTTATTTTGTTGAATTTGTTATTTTTTCCCTACAAAATGGTGTTTAATACTTTATACATAGGGTTCCCAGAAAAGCTGAAAAACACTGAAACATTCAATTATGATGAATTTCCTTTTATACATTTATTGATCTTCAGTAAAAACGGAGAAACCTAGCAGTGTCAACCTAAATCTGATTTCAAGTGTGGGTAATCTCACTTCTCAAAGAATACAAGAAAACAATACGTATTACCGACCATTACCAATAATTTGGACAAAAATAAGTTGAGTGCGCATTTATGTCGTCTTAAAAACATATTGGAGTACGTATCAAATTATATTTCCTTCTACCCAAAAACCCCTAGCTTCGATATTTTTATCTATCCATATTCCAACATGGAACTAAATTCCAAACTTTCAACTTTGACACCCTGTATGTAATTCATAAGCAATTTTTCATCTAGGCAAGTAGGCTTCGATTCGATTCTGAGACATTTTTATCGAATTCGGAATTTAAAATCTGATTTCAATACAAACAATAGTACATTTTTTTCAATTCTAACGTAAACCTGTGTGATGATATCATTATTATGGACACAGAGTGTATATGAACTATTTTCTCCTAGACTTTTGTAACTACAATATGCTGAAACACCCTGTATTCTCCGATATTTTTTGTTTGATGAGCTGCGCATGAAAAGAATGAACTAATCAATATTTTTATCTTTTTCAGGGCTATTCTGTTTTGTCTTAAAATATTTGTTTTGAAGAATGTACCTAATGCTTGTGAGACATAAAATAAGATACCGAGTTATCTAAAAAAACCGTGAGTACGTAACATGGTTTTCCAAAATCGAATTTTTTCGTTTTCCAGTGTTTTATTAACACCACCACAATGCCATTCGAGTATTATAACAGCATGTCGACTTTTTTTTTAAATAGAAAATATTCAAGACGTTTCATTAAAATTTAAAAAGATGGCTGGATGATTTATCAAAAGAGCAGGGTGATCATTATACAGGGTGTTTCAAAAAAACCTAACCCCCTTGCTAGGGTAGGTAGAACATTGCAAAATAAGTTGGGTTTGCTCAGTAAAAAAAATGTCATAAGGCCATCCCCGTTTTCAAGATACAAGGTGTTGAAACAATATTTTGTTTACACATTTTTTACGATTATGTTGAAACTACTGGCAACATTGTGATGACATTTTGTATAGATGTTTCTTGGAATCTGACAGATCGCATGCATTTGTTTTCATATCTTACTCTCATAGAGGGCGCTAGTTACACGGTTCGTACCGAGTAGTTTTGAACATGACTTTTTTGAGGTTAGATTTTTTCAATCCAAATTTGATGTGAACTTGAACATCATTCAATTCCACACCAAAAAGG